GTAGTTGAAATAAAGCGAGTTTAGAATTTGAGCAGAATTATATTTAGGGAATCGAAACGTTTTCTTTGTGTCACTTTTATAAGGTCTGCAAATAGCAAATCGGCACGGGTGAAAATGCTTTTAGTTAAAAATAAGAATATTGCAGTCTCGCGCAAAATCTATAAAATAATTGAGTATCTAAATATAAAAAAGGACAATCCATTTTTATTGAAGTAGTACAATTTCGTAACTTAGAAAGGAACGGACCGTGAACTGTTTCAACATATAATATTGAACACATAATTTATATTTAAAAAGCGTTATTTTTATACGAACATGAAATTCCTGATATGGACAATTGGTAGTTTCTTGCCGCTAGCTTATTTCATAGTATTTTTCTTTAGTCAAAGCCCGTTTCATTCATCGGTTGTATTAACTATAGATCTAGCAAAACACATATCTATGGATTCCAATACAAAACAGTATCTGTAATGAATGGTCACTTCTACAAAAGTACAAAACTTTCCTTCTACTTGTACATACCGTAAGATAAAAAGGAACAATACCTCTCTTAGTCCTGTGTTTATTTTTCAGCTATTTATTTATTATGTGTATAAATCAGCATCAACTTGAATATAACTTGCTGATGCATAACCATTTGGGAACCAATAATTGGGAAATAATAACTATTTCCTCTGACAACCTGTCTTCCTGCAGCAGGTAGTATGCGGACTTGACAGATCGGTACTTTCTGTCAATAAGTTTCTTCGTCATCTGGCCCTAAAAAGTATTCATTATTTTCACATAATATGTTGTACGGTGGATAAAGAAAGGATGTTGTCGAATGTCGTGACCATAATCATAGTGTTCTGTGTTGCTACTACGACACCTAATATCAATGTCTAATTACGTTATTCCTTTCCTAAGTATGTACTTATTCATCATATATTTTATAAGCTTTTTACGATATATAATCATATTAATTGTTTGATAGGATACCCTAAGTTCACGTACAATAGAATATAAGGAAGTTTGAAGCGTTTTTCACCCGTAGAGAGGTTTCTTAGTTTGAAAGCACTTGAAAAGTTGTATTTACTGATACCTCGTGCAACACAAAATAAAATTGCGCGCGGGTCGAATTAGCTTTGACGATATTGTCTTGAAACTTTACGTAGAAGTCAATTTCTAGAATTGCAAAAACTTACAAAATGGCGTTACCTTGTACCGTCTTTAAAAATTAATCATTTCATGTTAAAAATTTTTCTTGCTCTGTTTTTTTAGCAACGATCTGTCGCGCTGTTTATGACACAAAGTAGATGGATAGCTTTTAAACATGTGCTTTCATAGATATCCTTTCTATGAAGATAAAATCGACAGACGGGGCTAGCTGTAATATAATATAATATCAATGACCGAGCAGCAGTAGGTGTAAATAAATAATATGATTATTGTAAGATCCAATAACTTTAGACTCCTGTTTGGACCTGACACTTACTTATTACTAGGAGCATTTTGTTCTGGTATTAGATGCGCAGTATCTGGAGTGCGAACGTTGTAAACGCAATGGAATAGTAGACAAGAAATTATTTCAAACACTGCCCCATTTAGTTTTACGTGAATTGTGTCGTAAGAAAAGAGAAAATATTTTATCCCATAAAGGAGCAAATAATTCAGTTATACATACATATATATATATATCATTGTACACTAAAAAGGCATCACTTGAAAATTGAGTCAAAAGGAGTAGTATCTGCTTTGCCTTAGCGTATTTTAGGTTTTGACGAGAGTGTCCTTGTCCAAAAATCCACAAAGCAAGAAGTAAAATACATACAATAGCTTTTGTAAGTCGTTGCGGCTAATTTCATTGAATTAACTCATGCAAACGAATTGCGACCTAAATAGATTTAAAACTCCGCGCATATACGATGGATTGCAAGCCGGACTAAAAGTCGATAAATCGCTTCCTCTTTAAAGTTCAGCTTACGCTAATGACTTAAAGCTGCAGGTTGCCAAAAGCTAGCTCCGAAAATTTCAGCCAAGATTCTTTGAGTCCCGATGTGATTGTTATTTTTTTAATTTGCCAATATCAGCGAAGCTTACTGATGCTTGAATCTTTTTACCGACGTACGTTGAGCTATAGGATGAACACTGGCGTTGCGATAAATGAAGAGAGTTACTAGAGCTGGTTTGGTCGGTCACGTTATTATTAAAAGTCTATAAATTCCGGTTCATTTCAAAATTATATTAAAAAAATAGATCAAAATTCTTCGAATATGTTATTGTGGCCTCGTGAATTGATACTATGGGACATTGCGATTCAACGACAGGCTCGTGAAATGCGCACATCAAAGGGTTAATGGGTTTCTTCATCATTTTGTAGTTTCCAAACCATACATGTTTGACAGATTAGACACGAGTTAGCTGAGCGAGAAAGATGCACCATATTGAATTATAATTAAACGAAATCATCGTTGTAGCTTGAAATTTTGCTGACTCATTACGGCTGATTCGTCAAAACTTCAAGACAAGGCAGGGTTAACAGTACAAAAATATACCATGGTTGCAAGATGAATTTCTTGTTCCATGCAATGAAAACAGTCTAATTGTTGATAGCAGCATTTACCTAAATAGGACAGGCGTCTGGAGAATGATGAGCAAGTTTTCTTGTTTTTGGGTAAATGATAGGCAATAACTTAAAGTAAATTTTAGTTGTATAACAGAGGATTTCGATGCTTGTGATGTTTACAAGTAGCTATGATATGGCATTAGGCTTTGGTTGATACTCCGTTTTATGTTGTTATGTTACTTACAGAACAGCTGCTTAATTAATATTATATCACTGGAAAATTACTAAGCGTCCACTACGTGGTCGATTGTCATGATCAATCATTAAATGCCAGAGATTTAGGAGAATTTTGAAAATTGGCAATTTAGTTTCCGGTGACATAGCGATTATTTTAAATCCTACGCAACCAGAGCAAACCCCGTCACAACATAAAATAAAATACGACCGAAGACAAAATAGCGAAAAGTCTCTAATTAAATTTTTTGTTTATAGTAAGTGAACAGGTAGGGGGATTGCTAAAGTTTTTTTCAGTGGATAGCCTAAAAATGATCCTGTTTATCAAATATTCCCTGTGAGGAAAAAGATGGGTTTTCAAGTTTCCCCACTTCTTTGTTGATGACTGAACTTAGCGGCTGGTCGATCGACGTTGGTCCGGATAAACTTTTAATTCCATCTCAGGATTTCCAGACGCTGAAAAACCTTAAGTACACAACATTGAGCCTAGCATTTCTCTGTCAGGTTGTTGTATTGCAGAATACATTAGTTGCGTTAATGGGGTGCAGACATCTCTCTTCACTTCATCATCATCGTTGTCGGCCATCGCAAGAATATCAACCATCACAAAACGCTCGAATGAAAGTTCACTGAACTCACTTAGATTCGCGGGGATTCAATTGAGTACAATGATACCAGTGGGGTTAATATAGATAGTCGGAATGTTATAATGAAGCTATATCCAGTAACAAAATTCTGAAAGACTGGTACAATTGATTTGGCATTGTGAAGACGTAGTCGACCAACGTATTGTCTGGACCATTCGTCGCAAACGAAACGTAGTTGAAATCTCTATCGACGCAAATTGCAATTTGTGTTGATAGATTAATCATCATTTGATCGTGCTGAGAATCAATATAGGATCGTGGCATATCGGCTGATCATGACCAACATTTCGGGCGTACACTTTTGGTTATAAGAGCATTGTCTGGAGCCAAACACGCACCACGTAATTACGCACCAGACGATACTTTCAGAACGATTCTTCACTATGTAAGCCATTATGAGGAGTAGTTGGACATCACGGCCCTTCCTAAGCTTTTAAACTCCAGGGAGCAGCTTCTATCTATCTATAATAGCAGCAATTGCTATTATTAATACGATGTTTTACATATTATTTAAGTATTACATCGTATTAATGAAAATGTTTCTGGTTAATAAATATAATTCCTTGCACTATATTTTTTACATTCTAGTCTTCTTCCTTTATATATCTTTATCACATCTTAAATTCTTTATTTTATTACATCGACATTTGTTGAGTAGATAGTTTATAAGATAAACAAAAAAAAGAACACCAGAATACTGTAATTGTTATTTGGCATCTTTCTCGTACGATTTCAATATTACATTTTCAGTTATGAATGAAATATCGATCGTTGTATAATGGATTTTCCAATAAGCGGCACAGGTATGATATATGATTGTCGAAGATGTTATGTTTATATCCAATACACTACTATTTCAATTTATAACTCATATGTAGGATCAGCTCTGTATGTAATATGTAAAAATCAATAGTGTTTTATCCAACAAGATTAGGCTCGCCTCGAACATCTAAGGCATGCTGCATTATTTCGTAAAGTAACGAATGGCCCATGTTTGTCAATAACAGCCCGTTGTTTCCGACAATTTCGTAGGATGTAAAAAGCCCAGCTTCGTTGTAACAATTTCTCAAAAAATAAAATTTGTAAAAATAAAATTAAAAAGTGAGAGATTGAATCGTTCGAATCGATGACTAGCCCCAACCTGTGGTCCATCGGTATACCATTAATCCTAAACTATAAGGACGTGCGGGTCTCAGGCGTGGCAGATGGATAACACGCTCACCGAAATCGCTTGAATCTGTGCCTCGCACTATCTGCACTGGCTAATGACAGCTACACGCATGGCATAATTTAATCACAAGTTGAATTAGGAAGATTTCGCGATTTGGTGGTAATGATTATGTTATTCACTGGCCGAGATGCGTGTCCAGAACTCGTCGACGCTCAAGATTTTTTGCCGATCCATGTTCTGGGGTGGGTGGGTAAGACGCAGAGCGGTGATACGATAAACGGAAGGGTTAAAAGAACCTTTAGAAACAAGATCTTAGAAGAAATGTTTGTTAGAACTGATTTATGCGGTTTATAAAATGTATCAATTCTACACTTATACGTAGAAGAAGCCGTCGGCATCTAGCTCTGAACAGACACCGTTTGGTAGATCAAATAACCAATCTCTCCGCTGTAAATCTTTGGACCACTATTTTTATACACGAAAACAATAAGTACTGTAGCATAGCTATTTTTCATTGTAGTCCATTTAATTCAGTGCTATGTTGGTTTACGGATACGCAAGAACTTTTTATTTCCTTGTCAATATTTTATTCTATCAAATCAGCTTGTTCTCTCTACAATTTTATTTGTAATTGTTTGATCTCTTTATTGTATTAAAATTTCACACTATTTCGCAGCTACTGTGTCTGGAATTGCTTTATTTATAAAGTATTCTATTGATAAATCATTCATCTAGGATGTGCAAGGTGTTATTGCAATTCTAATTAAAATTTAGTGTCTTACTTGAACACGATGATATATATATATATATAGTATATATATATATATATATATATATATA